CCCCAAAACCCCAAAACCCCAAAACCCCAAAACCCCATAAATTCCTAATAAGTTAAAATAGGGATAATTGGAATTACTAATTCTAAAATATATTCTTTAAAATTTCATTAAGTCTATTTGATTGGTTCTTATACAGTAGATATTATTGGAGTCTAAGGCTGCTTTATAGGAGATTAGTGATTTATAGGTGACTTGTTAGTTTTTTATGATATAAGGTTTTTACGCCTAATCCAATCTTACTTAATTTTCATTTTATGTTCTTCTCTTTATTTTTAAAGATTTAATTACTCTTATTGCTCCTTCTTCTCTTATAATTTTCTCTAGAGCTCTTTTTTCTTCTTATCAGGATCTAGCATTATTGAATATATTCCATTTCTCTCTTCTTGTTATGGTCCAAGCTCCATTACAAATCTGTGAGTATTTTCATCTCTTAAAGTACTCAAGATTTCCTCTAATAATTCATCATTTTCATCGTATTTCTATTAAGTCTCATTTGTTTTATGCAAAGATTAAAATCTTTGCTCTAGTTCACTATTAGGTAGTTTATGCTTCAAGGACTCATACTTCTTTCTCAAGAGCTCCTTAGAATGCTAATCAAGTACCATATTCTTCCCTGCTCTAGTCAGACCTCCCTTGAGTATAGAACTAGTGTTATTAACATATTCTTTTAGATATCTGGAGTAATCTCTTAACTTAGGTACCTCAAGCTCATTTAACTGTGGACTCTTTCGTCCTCTCTTTTTTGTTACTTTTGTTAGGTCAATGACTTGTTTTTATGGCATTTAATTTTAATCTTAGTTAAGAAAATCTATTGGGAAATCTGGTTTAGAATTCTAATTAATGAAGATTTGAGGATTCGGAGAAGGTGTTTTGTTCAAATTTATTTTTACTCTCCCATTAAGATTAATTTTAGGAATAGTAGCTATTTCCTAACCAAATCTAATTTTTTTCATAGCATTTTAAACTGCTCTCTTTTACTTTAATTCATGCAAATCTTTATTGAATTGATGAATCTTAAATCCAGTTCTGAAATATATCTTTACACAGAAACTTAGTATAGCTTTCTAAATAAGCTTGTGAAATCTTGCTCGCATTTCTCTAATTGCTTTGCAAATAATACCTTTTGAGATCTACTATTTTTCAAATTATTTTTATTTTTCAGCTCTAATTTATCTGAAGTTAGAATTTGCAAAGACCTAACCAACATTCGCCTTTGTAGGATCACTCAAATCATTAAGCTCTTACTCCTCTCTTATTTTTTATTCAAGCTCTTACTAAGCAATAATTGCCCTCTATTTTTAAGCTCTTTCATGCTAAATAACTCTTATCTTATCCTCTATATATTGATCATCTATTCCTATTTGCTCTCTAAATTTTTAAGCCAAATTTTGAAATGAAAAAGCAAACTTTGATCCATAATCACCCTGCGCTAATTTGGTTTCTCTTGGTTCGTGTCCATTAATTTCATTCATTACTATTTCATTCTATGCATTTTTCTTAATTATATTTTTCATTCTAGAGAGATCATACTCTTTCTCCTATCTGTAATAATCGAAATCAGGTTTCTTTAAATACTCAGATACTTTTCCCTTCGGGGTTTCAATATCTTTTCTTTTAAATAAATTTCTTTCCTCATCATATTATTCGTCAAAGTCTTAAACATTTTTCCTGTTTTAAAATCTCTGCTCTGCTATCTTTAGCTAGTCTTACTTCACTTTATATTATTCTCTTTGTTCTTATAGATTATCCTCATTGATTAGTTTATAAATTTTGAGATTAGTCCCTCATTCAAGCTACTTATTTGTGTAAAGTCTTGATTTTAGATCACAAATGGATTATTAGTAATTTGACGTCTCAACCTTAACTTTATAAGAAATCTCATTAAGCTGATGTTCTTTTCCAAAGAATTCTTGAAAGTTTGAAGCTCATAGGTAATCTTTTCAGGGGTTAGGCAAATATATTTTCTTCCCTGGAAACAATTTAGTTGGGGAAATGCTTTTATAATCCGTATCATTATCGTATAAATCAGGAAACTCTGTCTTAAGATACATTCCATCATCCTTGTATTAGTAATCAATTTAAGGTGATATCTGCCTACCTTCATTCTGTAATTAAGACTCTGCTCGTTATCTTAGTTTGCTATCAGATGAATCTGTGGAAATATTAGTTAACTTTTAATTACAACTAGGCAAAGGTATATTTCTCTTCGCATTTGGATTAAGTCCAATTCTATCATATAATTCAATTATTTTGCAATGATCATTTGGTCTTGGAGCTTTACTCATAACATTGTTCCTAGATTCTTTAATTTCTTAAATAGGAGTTAGCATCTTTATTCGTTTAAAAGAATCCATATTTCTTACATACATGCTGACTTGCCATCTTGTTATGCGAAATCCTTGGAAACAGAGAACTTTGACTAATTTTAGTTTCTTTCATATATTTTGGTATATAATCGTTACTATTTCACTAAGGAGTATTTTCATTTTTAAATGAAAACTACTAGAACTCTTACCCTCTTTCTTTAGCCCTTAATTCCCAAGCAATTTCTTCTTTGCTTTTCACTAAATCATACTGTATTATCATTGTGTATATTTTAATTTTCTAATATTTTATTATTCCACTACCTTTAAAAAGAATAATTCCTTAAGGGGTTTTGGGGTTTTGGGGTTTTGGGG